TAGTATTCGGAAAAAATTGTGCAATAGAAAAATTGATTAGCGGTCTAATTAAAGGAGTAAAAATTGGTAATGTTTCAAATGATATACACTTCTCAAATTTAGCGGTTCAAATTTATTCTCATTTTTCTCGTTCGAGTTTTCATTTTATCCAAATATATACTCCGATAATGACATGTGAATAATGATTTTTCGTTGATGCAGTTATATTCCAAGTGGTGAGGCTGGCGCTCAATGCTGGCTCACAATGAAAAAAACGGGAATTCTTAGTCTACTTTAAATATTGATTAACAATTGCAGTGCTCTGGTTTCAAAAAAAAATTGCAGTACTCTTGTCCTCTGTAATTCTTTGTCTAATAATTTAATAGTTCATGTTATATGCTTGAATGTGTTTTGATTGAATTAGAAAAATTGGAAATTGAACCGCATTGATGCATGTGGACTAAAAAAACTTGTGGTTATTAATCATAACCTCTTTTTTGGGTCAATAGTAAATATAATTAAGCACAAACATACTGTAGTATGGATTTTGTGAATATCTATAACCTAAAAGATGTTCACTGTTATAACCTGAAAGACAAAGTGTGTTGATATAAGATCTCGATGTTTGAAACTAACCATTTAAGAACTAAGATATTATAAATTTTATTTTTTTTATTTTTTATTAATTCCATTATTAATATTTGATAATGTTTTCTTCATAAAAATTTATTGGTTTACTCAGATTAAATAATGTCTAAATCTTTTAAAATAAAAAATACTAAAAAATCATGGAATATAAGGTCTTGGGTTGAAGGTTTTTGATCATGTGGACCCCCAACACATTTTATCTTTGGGTCTCTTATTAATAGTAATCATATTTTTATGGTCCTAGATTGATAAAACTAGGTGCGCAAAATCATATTTTTATGATCCAAATATATACTCCGATTGAGAAATCAGAAGAATTGCCTTCGACTCTTTATGTGTATGAAATTGCACTTGTGGCAAGAGAGATATAGACACAAACTATTGATTTTATGACATTTCGCTCTCCTTCTTTCCACGGTCTTATGTATTTTTGGTAAGTTTTTGTCTGCAATGTCAACCACAATGTCTCCACAATGTCTACATCTAGACATTGTGCTTGACATTGTGAAAAAAAACTTACCAAAATGATGTAAGATCCTTCAAATAAGGAGAGAGATATTTTATTTATTGTTTATTAATTGGTTATTTCTCATGCCACGTATGCACTGTTAACGTTTTAGCATTGAAGATGTTCTTAGGCATACTGGATTGAGAAATCAGGAGAGTCAAAATCCTATATATTAACATTGAGTATTTATTATACAAAGAATGACAAGAATATTACCTATAAGGTTTGAATGGACAAAAATATAATCACTTTTACTCTAGACAAAAACTGATTAAAAACTTTTAACCAGTCCTAATTAGAATTTGGATTTTCATCTCATCAACGAACATGGAGCTCGTTATAGTACTATTAGGGTGCGCAATAGGAGCTTGGAGCATGCCGCCGCCGCTAAAGAGTCGATGCCAATTCTTCTCTGAATCATCGTCTCTTTGAAATCGACATTGTCGATCGCCCTCTCCCTCTAAAACTCAATCGAAACGAAGATCTAAGCACAGAGTTGCACGATTGTCACCATTAACCACATTCTTTGATGGAGCGATTGTTGCAGGTAGGCCACGACCACAGCTAGGGTTGCTTCATCACGGTTGGGGCTGGGGCTATGAGTGGTGTTGGAGCTAGAGGGGGTTGTTGCAGCCTTGCAGGGGAGGCAAGCTAGAGAAGAGGCTGGGGAATGAGAGGAGACGACTATGACTGGAGGCACAGAGGTGAGAGAGGGTTTGTGGCTGGACTAGGAAGAGGATGAGTGTAATACTTGAGTTTAATTTAAAGGAATTAATAGTATTATTCATATCAACAAGGTGCATTTTTTTTAAGAGAACTCATCAGCTAAGAGCTTTAAGCAGTTAAGCGTGTTTACATGGGAATAGTCTTTGGATGAATGACCCCCTGGAAGGTTTCTCAGGGCGCACACGAGCGAGCACAAAGTTTGTGTTTGAGGTTTGTGTTGGTTTGTGGGGACAGTAATAGAGCTAGGTCTGGAGAGTATCTAGGAGTAACTACATCCAGTCCCACGGGGCCGGGGTGTAATAATGGGGCTGGTCGGGAAGGAGAGGGGGCTAAGCAGGGTTTGGGGCCTGAAGGTGGTGACAGACGGTGGTGGAGAGGGTGGCAGGGGGTAGGTCGGGGGCAGGGCAAGATAGGCGGTAGGGGCTAGGGTTTGAGGTGTTGGGAATGGGGATGGGGATGGACAGGGTACATGGCAGCAGTTGTGTGATGGTGGTGTCGGCGGTGGTAACTGGACAGCCATGGATCCGGGGGTGTAATGAAAATGAAAAAAGTCGTCGAGCTGTTTTGCCCGGAAAAAAGTCGTCGAACTTTTTATTGTGACATGTTTTACGACAGCAGTGACATCTGTAGGTGAAATGAAAATTCGACTGTGACAACTCATAGTGATATAAAAATATCATAGTAATATAAAAAAAATTGCAATGACATTATGTTTATCCAAATATTCAAAAAAGTAGTCGCATTTTCGGAAATTGAGTTCCATTTATAAATATTTAGGGGGAACCCCCTTTATTATATGAACGCATATTATTTCAACAAAAATGTAGACTTACAACGAAGGTTTATTTAGAATGAAGTTTGAAATTTACTAACAGAAATTCATATATGATATTAGAGTTTTTTTAATGGAAATCGCCTATATTCAAATTAATTATAAATTGTATATCGATCAAACTCGAAACTAATGTCTACATTCTCACTGGACATAGTATATCCTATTCCCCTCTGATTAGATATATAAAATATCAACTTAATTTCAATAGAGCGAATAATTTCACTAACCATGTTAGAGTTTTGAACAAAAATTCGATCATAAAATCCCAATTGGTTCTAAACATCGTAAAGTCAAAAATCGTAAGACTCGTACGCACACCTACATCCCAAGTTCTAAAATAAAAGTCAAACTGGAAAAATAGGAAAAAAGAAATAAGCTAAGGTACCACTCCGAAACTAGTCAAACTCGTTCAACTTCAAGCTTGCAATCCATACTTGACAATCAATTAATAGCTTCTCCCTTAGCAACCCAATAACGTCATAGAGATACATTAATCTTGTGCATCGAAGCGGGACTAATGCACAGGTCTGTCCTCACCCCGTTTTTAAATCAAATTACGTCGCCACCATAGCACTCAATAGAGTAACCTCATAGCACCTACCAAATTAAAACAATGAAAATGTCAAAACCTCCCACCCCTTTAATCATCGTCTCACCTTTTGGAGTAAAACTTTTTCAATGATGAATGACTCGCGATATATCTAATATTACTTACGTCCTTTAAAACTTTATCAAGTGTAACCGTCACGGAGATTAATAAAATAAAAACTGCGTAGTTGAGTTTTGTGCAGAGGAGAGAGAATTAATTGAAACCACAAATTGTTTACTTAAAAGGGAAAGTGGCAAAGTTAGTGAGACATCCAAAAAGGGGAAAGTTAACAAAGTTTTAAGGGACGGAGGGAGTAATAGTGTTCTTGTCCAGGTTTCGGTTTCTGTCCTAATGATTGGCTGTGATTGTTTGGTTTTAATATAATCGTTTGCATTCAAAAGAAATTGTCGTAAATATGACTAAAATTATTCATATTTCCACATATATGAACTCGTTATTTTTTACCAAAATATTATCAAATTTATAACATTTAATCAATAAATAAATAGTTTTAGTATATCAACTAATATGAACTCAGCTTATTATAACCCTAATTGTATCTACTTAACTGGATCCCTATCTCCCTAGTAGTTGACTCGACTACTCTCTGACACTTCCGCTTCTTCTTCTCTCTAGCTCACTGCCCCGCTCCCACACCTTCTATTAATGGTGTGGCTTCTTCTCCTTCTACTTCTGTAACATTTCCATGCAATAAAATCCCGGCTACCACTAAAATCGGAAAATGAAGGCATGAATGGATGTGAAGACATGTAACAACAATGAATGGTGGCAATATAGGTTGGAGGAGAAGTGAGATTGGCGAGAATTGCACTATACGGCTATACCAACCACAAGAGCAATAAAGCTAACAGCCTAACATGAACGGCAATGTCATTTTGAATATTGACAATAATGAAGCAAGCCATTTTGAAGGGCATTTAACAACATTGAATATGGTGGATACTTCAATGAACGAAAGCATATAATAATTTTTGTTTTAAGGAGTTTAAAATGTAATAAGGTATTTTAGTATAAGTGATTATGTTTAGTCATATTAATATTAGTAATTGTATTTAGAAAGGTTGAGTGTGTTTTATTCATATCCCAATAAGGGTCTGTTTGCAACAGCTTCTACTTTTAAAAAAATGTTTTTTTAATGAAATGGGGAGAAGTGATTAAATAAAAGTTGATAGTGTTTGAGAAAAAAGTGATTTTGAAAAGTAAAAGTGAATAGTGTTTGGTAAAATAAGTGTTTTTTGTGTAATAGAAAAAGTAAAAGCACTTTTGACGCGGAAGCCGAGAAAAATAAAAGTTGTAGTGTTTGGGAAAATAAGTGTTTTTTTAAAACCAAAAGCTGAGAAATGCTTTTTTAAAAGGAGTTGCAAACCAACCCTAAATTTCCCAAAACTTTAGCTAGGTGCATCAAAACTCTCAAAAGGCTTCAACAGTTTTTCAAAAGACCCGCCTATATTCTAGCCACCCAAAATGGAATTTTCATTTTCTAACCCAAATGAAAGATGAAAGACTGCCTCCCTCCACATCAGGTACTTCTCTCTAAGGTTTAAGGGTTTGGGAGCCCAAATTAATCTAAAGATATGGAGATCACCTAAGCAAAAAAAGGACTTCCCAGGAATATATAGATGGAAGGAGGTCAGACACAAAGCAGGAGGGGCACCTAAAATGGCCACTTTCAGTGCGAAAGGGATTGGCAGACTTGACAGCGGAAGTAGTATGAGTACTAGCGTAGAAAATGTGCAACATAATGTCAAATTTAAACACTAAAGCCCTGAATAATCCCTCAATTGCAGCCCCATAAGTAATTTCTCATTATCAGTTATCCTCCCCAAGAAGAAAATGGTACATCGTCCAGTCATGTAGTACACATAAAAAGGCAGGAAGATCCCAAAAAAATAGAACTAGGAGAAATTATGGTGCAGCTTCTTTATATGTGTACGTTTACTCTCACTGGATCTGCTAGCAACTCCACTTGCTGACTTGGAACAATGGCAACAATCTGAGCTTGTTGACACATTCCTTGCACGAGGACTGAAACTCATCTCCCGGTACCCTTCAGCGTTATTTCTATGCTGAGAGTCTTGATCATGTGTGACATCGAGTGTCTCAAATTCCTGGCAGAGATTACTATTGCATCAAAGCTCATTCCATTATTCTCTATTAAGTACCGGTTCAGAATGAGCTTTATACAGCACTTCAAATAATTTTTTTTTCTAAAATGCACCATGTTGGCTCATTTAGATCGATTAGTCATTCTATCTGGCTAAAAGTTATGAAATGAAAATTTTCAATTCATTATAGTTATGTGTACTTCAGTTTTCAAGAGTGCTTTTATGTGATTCGAAAGTTGTCCCAAACAATTACCAACTTGCCGCAAAATGGGACTTGAAACTGGCCGTTTGTCTTGAAAGTGTTGGTTTAAAAATATCCAATATAAAGTATAGTGCAGTTTGTACTTTGTCAAAAGAAATGACTATAAAAAAACTTTAAACTCAAAGTCCTCTCATAAAAAAGTCCATATCCTCATATTAATTTGAAATAATTTGGTGAGATGAAATTGAGTGCCAATTACTCTCCGCCTGCAATGAAGTTCCGAGTTGAACTCATGGGTTTTTACTCAAAATAACTTTTCTATTGGCTTTCCAAGTATACACTTCTTTAAAAGTATATTTGAGAAAATTAATAATTAATATGTACTTCCATAAGGGTAAATGAGTATTCTACCACTCAAATATTCTACCAGAAAGAGAAGTGAGAACTAAAATTTGGGGAAGTGCAAAATTAATTGCAAGACGGAAGGAGTAATAGTTTAGAATTAGTTCACACAATAAATTCATTGAAAATGTTATGCTAAGTAATTTTATCCAAAAAGTAAACATTGTTAACTTTATGTCATCCATTCCAACATAGTTGGAAATTTACTTTGATCATGAACATAGATCAAACACTAATTCATCAAATAAAGCATACATTGCCAAGAGTTTGCATAAAATTTACCTTGGACTTTGACTTGATGTAATAAGGTGTTAAACATGGGTTTAGATCTTTGAGAAACATTTCGTCAGGACTTGATGGTGATGCATTATCTTCAGAACTGAAATCCTAATGTGATCATATAAGAAATAAAAGGAAAATAATCAAAACATTAACTGATTCTTTAAAAAAAATACTGCGATACTTTCATTAAAAGGTGCACACAGTTTGATTGCGCAGTTTGACGAATACTTTACAAACAACCTAAAGAACCGGTTCGAGAAATATATGAATCAACTGAACCGAAACATCGACCGTACAGATATTGGTTTGGGTTATGTTGATTTGATAAATCCATAATATTATATACACATATAATGAGCACACAAAGTATAAATACTTAATTAGCTAATAGAAAAGAGAAATACAAAATGTAGTTTCAGACACTAGGTCCACACAATCATATATTGTATTTTTTTAATCTCAAAGTTGACAGGAGTAAAAAATAGACTTAGTGGATAAGGTATAGGATATCGTGAAAACGCCAATGCAAACTCACATGTGAAGACGACAAGCAGTTTGATATGTCTACTTCTATTGGACTTAGAACTTTGATTTAGAGTTCTATTATGATGTGGCGGTGGCTTGCAAATACTGCAACCGATTCCAACCTAATAAAAACTGAGTTAACCAAAATAAGATATCCAGTTTTGTATTATTAAATTTTGTGGTCCCATTCTTAAGGTTAACCTGTTAAAGAGTAGTATGATACCATATATGTTAGATGTTAAAAAGTTTGTAGTTTGATAGACAAGTTTGTATCTTTATATTTGGCTGGCATTAGACAGCTGAACATGTATGAAGTTGGGTCAATGTGCACCCCTATTTTCATTTATGTCAAAAGTAATCCACTTTATAGTGATTGTTATTCTACATAGGTGAAATTGTATACTGAGTGTAGATATGATTACCTGAGAATGTGTTGCCTCTACATAATTACATTCAGGTGTCTGTGGAGAGCTAAAACAACTATCATAGAGCTCTCTCATTGAGTGCTTATCTGCCTTGACCTGTACAAATGAACATAATCATTACTCCAAAAATGACAACCCTTAAAGCTTTAGAACCATCTAATATAAAATCATTAGCTTGAGGATTGGTTTCAATTGATGTCATCTAATTACTCTTCGCATGAACAAGCAGCATAAATTATGAAGAGTCCCGTTTCGTGTACACGCCGGGTTACACGCTGGTCAAATTGACTGTGTACAGACAATTTGACCGGCTACACAAACAATTTGACCAACATTTTATGAAGAAAATCGATTTTCCACACAGACAAAAAGTAAAGAGTTGTCTGTATCACGGACATTTTAGACCGAAATTTTTCAGTGTCTGTGCTACAGATTTTTTTTTTGTCTGTGTGAAAATCAGTATTCTTCATAAAACGCTGGTCAAATTGTCTGTGTGCAGACAATTTGACCGGTGTGTAACCCAGCATGTAAAACTTGGCGTGTACAAATGGAATTTTCCAATTATGAATGGAAAAAAAAGGTTTATACAAAGGCTACCTACCTCGGCAAGATCTTCGGCAAGGTATTGGAGTTTGTCGGTAAGAGATGTGACCTGCCTTTGTAGATTAGGTATGATTTGCCTAGCCTGTCTAAGTTCTGTAGCCTGATTCTCCATAACTTCTTGCATTTTTGAATTCATAGCATCTGGGAAAAGAATGCTACTCTTCAATGACTTCATCTCTTCCCTTTGCTTCAAGCACAAATCCTTCAACTTCTCAACCTGAAGTTTTCGCAACTTTTAGTCCGAACATATCTTTGTACTCATACCCTTGATGGTAGCAAGTGATTCAAAAAATAATACGTTAGAACATAGAAGCTGATAAGAGGTCTATACTCTATATTCCAGTAGACTGTAGAAATTTACAAACACAAACACACAGTGCAATCCTGAACAATAAAGTTCACACTTTTGGCAGTTAAGCAAGATCAAAAATCAATTATACCTTGAAACATGACAATAGACATTTAATTCAGTATCCATTTGAAGCAAAATTCAGATGTTTATATTGAAATTATCATATTGCTTGAAAATGCTACCAGCAAAAGAGCTCCATATTCAAAAAGAAAGAAAGAAAGAAAGAAAGATAATGTAATACTTCTTTGTTTTTCTCCTCAAGCAACAAATTGAGTTCGGCAATTTGGTTCTCCTGCTCCCTGTTCATACTCAATAGCTCCCTCTCACTCCTTAGCACCATCGCCAATGTTCTCGTATTCGCTTTGACCTCAGTGAGCGCCTTCTGTTCAACGCCTGCCGTTTTCTTCGAAGATCCCTTGAACAACTTCTTATGCAGAGATCCCAAACCGGTCCCTTTCCTCGCCGTATTCTTCAAATCCTCGGCTATGAAATCGGCCGGTATGGCGAGTTTGTAGTCCCCCTTCTTCTTCGACATACCCGAGGTCGAACTGTGATCCACTAGCTTCTTTACCATTGAGCTGAAATTGACATGGCCCTTGCTCACGGTCTTGGAGGGGATGACGGCGCGTGAAGCATCGCGTGAGTTGGAGCGTAGCGGGACTTGGGATTTCGGAGCGATCTCCGCCGAAGAAGACGGGTCGGATCTTGACGAGGATCGGGATTCAAATGAGGAGTTGACGTTGGCATAGCGTGAATATGGCTTGATTGAAGCCATTTTCTGGGGAGATGAAATTGCAGTGGATATTTGTTTGATTTCTGTCTGGAGGAACTACAATTTGAATTTGATAGGGAGTAGTTTGCTGGTTTGTTTGTCACTTTGTCAGGGTCTGTCTGTGTGTGATAGCCTGATTCAATGGAGAAACGATTTTGGCGGTGCCTAAAATTCAAATTTTGAGAAGGTCAAATTGTGGAATTTTTTGATATTTTTTGAAATTTTTTGAACATATCCAAATTTCAACAAAAATTCAATCGTGAAAAGCGGTCAAATAAATCTGTGATTTATATGTATATTTTTGAGCAGTTATTTTCAAAAAATTATTTGATTGTCTTTCCGATTGAATTTTAAATTGAAATTTGATATGGATAAACTAGATTTGATGAAGAACATCCTAAAAGAAATCATCAAAAAATTCCACCGGAAACCACCTCAAAAAATTACTCACTAGGACCAAACATATACTTAACCAAACATTTGTCAGACCAAAATAAATTTAAAGGAATCACATTAGACCAAATCACACAAGACTAGATCACGAAATTACAATACATTTAAAAACATTATATGACTATTGTCTCAACAAACATCATACTCACAAAGCAGACGACATCATTTAATTCTAAATTCTAACTAAAAACGAGGATATATAAACAGTAACTATCATTTTTGTTTCAATATTTTTCATGTTGTGAATCTCGAATTAAATATAACTCGTGTTGCTACAATCGTAATCTTAATTAGTAACAAATGTAACTTGTGCACGTGACTCTAACTCGCATTACTATGTCCAGTGATTGTTCTCTCGTCTTTCATATATGATATGTAAATCACGTGTATGCAACATGTAACTTCGGACAAATCAAAATGCAAATATATATGCATATTGTAATTTCTTGAGACAAGTCCAAATGTAAAAGGCATTAATGGAAATGTACGTGATTTTAGGTAATGCTATATATAAATCACGTTAATGGAAATGTAACTTGATAAGTCAACATGTAATATGTGGTAGGCTTTAATATTTTAATATTTCGAGTCCCCATATTAAAAATATTATACAGTAATATGCAGTTCTAAAAGGCGTTATGCGTTAGCCGGACGCTAGCCCAACGCCTAGCGCCTAGGCGGCTAGGCGGGGACTAGTCGGAACATAGAAATTGAATTTTTATCTATATTTTTGCATGAATATGATAAGTAATATTGTATTCTTGTATGAATAAAATACATATATACACATACATTAACAAATAGGAATGATAGAATTATCACATTTAATCATACGTAGGATATGATAACTAAAAACTTAACTTCATTATGTTATATATATAAAAAATAATAAAATGTAGGTGTATATACAAACATATATAGTCCTTATCTTAATTTACAACTTCATTTCTTTATATTCGTAGCTAAGGTTAAAGTACTTATATCGCTTAGAAAACTAAAATTGAAAGGTAAAGTAATGTTCGGAAAATCTAGACGGTCAAGGCGGCCGATTAGGCGCTCTGGGCGGGTAACTAGGTGCATTAGGCGGCTGACTAATTCACCTAGACGGCAAACTGATTAGTCGGAGCGCCTAGGCGAAAATCGGGGCGCCCGACCACCGCCTAGCGCCTAGGCGGGGACTAGTGCATATAACGATTTTTAGAACAGTGATAATATGTGATTAAAATATTAAAGTCTACCTAACACGTGGTAAGTCGAAATGTAAGATGTGTTATATAATAAATATATAAATTCAAACAAATTTACAGTCATTCAATTACAAATACTCCCATGAGTTTTTATTTTAAATTATTAAATTATTAGTTTTGAATTGATCTATATCTAATTTGAAGATGCAAAAAATGAAATTATCGTTGGATTGTAATTAATATTTTGATGGAAAAAATTATACTACGTAATATAATAAATATACGAGTATATAACTTTAGTCGTCTTCATCCATCTTAAGGTCTCAACTTCCAGTTCGGTCTTTGTTGGTTGGATATTGCATATTCATATAATATCGTACTTGTGATTTCTATTTGTTGGCCTTCAAGTGATTTTTTTACAATTTCCTTCTATTTGTCTTGAAAAGTTGAGAAGTGGAGGTAGTGGTCGATCTAGACTTTACATTTGGGTGTTCAAAATTAAAGTAAAGTTAAAAGTGTCACAATAATCATATTTAAAAGTGGAGGTTCCGTTTCGGGGGCCGAGGAGAGACCCCCACCCTCAGGACAAAGGCAAAGGCCTCCTCCACGCTGATGACGCAAGGCATCAGATCAATCACGCTCAATCATTCAAGGCGAAGTCCCTAGGGGCTGCCCCGTGGGATCCCAAAGACGAAATCATCGAGACCCTCAGCCGCCAGCTAGAGGAGGTGCGTCAAACGCCCCTGACGGCATGCACTCCAGGGCCAGACCTGAATTATGCCGCCATACTAGCTCAAATGGAGGATATGAAGCAAAAGCTCGCCGAAGGCTCAGGCGAACCCCTCATCCAGCTTCGCACTAAGACGCCTTTCACCCCAAGGACATTGGCGGCTCAGATCCCCGATAAGTATCGGGGACAGCCCATAAAGCCGTATGAGGGGAAGACGGATCCCAAGAACACTATAGCAGGTATCAGAATAGCATGATGATGATGATGGGGGCGTCAGATGAATATTTATGTCGTTGGTTCCTTTCCACCTTGAAGGGACCGGCGTATGAATGGTTCAACCGATTGCCCGAAGGCAGTATTGATTCATGTCAAGAGCTTGCCCACCGTTTTCTAACACAATTTGCCGGGAGGCACCGGTCGAAGAAGCATTTTTCCCATCCGTTGAATGTAAGGCAACCGAAGGAGGAAACCCTTCGGAGTTTCTTAGAGCGTTGGAGGCAGGCCTCCATCGAAGTTGATGACGTCGACGATAAGACGCTGATGGCCCTATTCCATACGGTCCTCCACAACGCTAACTTCTCTAGGAGCCTTATTACTGACCCTCCCCGCGATTATACAAAAGCCCTTCAGCATGGGGATAGGTACACGGAGGCCGAGGAGATCGAGAAGGACCGCCACAGTCCGGAGCCTTCACAAAGGCTCGATGGCAGGAATCGCCCCGGGGGACCACCCCCTCCGGCGAATCGCGAAGCACAGCACAACGACCGACCCCGGAATGGCCAAGCCAGACCCGGGGGCGGCTACAAGAACAATCTGAGGGCGTGGGCACAACCTACACTCCTGGAACACCCGCGCACCCCTCTGACTCATCCCATCAGCATCATCTTGGACTATGCGGATGAAAGAGGCCTCGTGGAGCGAGACTCTCTCGCGCCCCTAGAGGTATATGCCATCAACCCTAACGAACCATATTGTCGTTTTCATCGCCACCAAGGGCACATGATTGATGACTGGCACCAGCTGAAGGCGGCCATCGAAAGGTTGATACATGCGGGCCATTTGTCCCAATTCATCAGGGGCCCTCATCCTCAGGGACCCTGATGTGAGTTTTCTCGCAGTTAAAAAGATTGAAGAACAGTGGTTGAAAGTACGAGTATCGTCTCCACAGGGACGAACAAAAGGGAATTAAGAATTAATTAAATTCAGCGATTACAAAAAAAAAACGCGTCGTGCGAGATTGGTTGCTAGAAAATTAAAATGCGAATAAAACAATTAAACTAAGGGGTTCTTTCTAATTAATGACGAAGAGAACAAAGATTGATTCCGGGGTAACCAGATTTCTGGCAGATCAGGCTTAATTACATGAAATTAATTTAATTGAGCCTAGCTAATCATTACTAAGTTCTTACCGCACACGCAGCGTAGAGTACAATAATTTAGGGGACCAGACTGATCTCTCATGCGACAAGATCCTAAATTATTGCCAAGATGAGCGAGCTTACGGGCCCTTAATCGCTACTAATCTCTTAGCGAACGATTAAGTGTGTGTGAAGGTGTCTTAGAATAAACTAGATCTCTGTTAATTTATTGTACAAGCAATTGTAATTCTAGTCGCGATTCTAGGTTACAAAAGATATCAGTTAAATTATTCAGACACAAATTAAACGGCATTCATGCAATTAAACCATCAATAATTTAGCCATACATCATGATCAACCCTTCATCAATCCCAAATCCCTAATTAAAACTACTCACAACTCATAATTGAAGAATCAACGGAATTGGGATGAATAGAAATAATTGTCATTGATTAAAAAGATTGAACTTACAAATAATTCCAAGGTTTTGAAGAACAAAGCGGTAAAATACATAAGAATTCGTCCCTGGGCCTCTCTCTAAGACCCCCCCCCCTTGAAAACGAGGGTTTACGGGGTGTTTAAAAGAAAAAAGATCAATCCGGGTCGAAATAGGACTTTTGGGGCGAAAATCAACCCGCGGGGTGCGCGGGCGGTCGTCTGCGGGGCGTGCGAGCATCATCCCGCACATAAATATTTTGCTCCGCCCACACAGTGTGCGGTTTCAACCTGAGGAGTGTTTCTGGACCGCGCGGTGTGCGGTTTCGGCCGCGCGGTGTGCGGTTCAGACCCCTTAACATTTTGCTCTCGGATTCACCCGCGGGGCGTGCGGTACTGACCTGCGAGGCACGCGGATGACTTATGAACCGTTTTCTTGCTATTTTCTTCCCTGATGGCTCCCGGATGCTTCTTTGATCGATCCAAATGCCGTTTCTTTATCAAATCTTCGTCGTGAACCTCGTGACGGCCTCCAAAACTCACAAATCTCTCTCGAGTGCTCTCCAATTCTTCTTGATTGCTTCTAAGCGCTGGTGCCAGACTCGGAATTCATGAATTTGACTCCAAACAACACAAAAACTCGAACCAACGCCTGGTAAACATAACTTGAGCTAAAATTGAGAGTTGTAACACCTTAAAGCTAGGAAAACCATCAAAAGTCGATCCCCACACGCATCAAGTGCGTGTCTAGATACGGACTTATCAGATTCCCCCACACTTAAGTCTTTGCTTGTCCTCAAACAAACTAAACAACGGGACTTACGATAATCACCACACAGAATTAAACAGTTAGCATGCACACGTAGTTAAAGGGATGCTCACAAAAACGGATCAATGCACTAAATAAAACTGATTCTACATATCATTCAAACAAACAGATTGTGCATAGCTACCAAATGAGGGCAAGACATTACAATACTTATGCTAGATCATAACAAACAAACTGATACACCTAAATTACATCAGTTTAAACTGATACATCAAACCTAAGAAACTGATACATCAAACCTAAGAAGCTGATAGATCAAATCTAACAAACTGATACATCAGTTCCTAAAACACAAACCTAAATTAGATCACATTACATGTAATCTAGTCTAACTTTCATTCTCAATTAATCCATATTAGCCTAAAACATCTTCCAAGCTACCTTCTTTTTGCTTCCACTGTCATACCAAATAACCCATATCACTGCCAGCATTATTCCTGCAATAATGCTTCACAACACACTCTAAATCCTTTGTTTTTTAGACAACCCTTTTCCTTTGCCTTCTCCTCAACAAGCTCAACTTCCAATTTGTTTATTTTCCTCAACAAACCAGGAATAATCATCTTGGACCTAAAACACATTTCTTCATCAAGCCATTCGAACATGTTGCAACAGGCACCTGTACCATATTTGTAATAATAGCATTAAGTCAAGAACAATCAAAATTAACAACAAATCATAAATAAAATATTTTTATCATTCCAATGCCCTTACTCTTGAGCAGGCAATGAATCGTCTCCCTGGATTGTCATTTGTCCATGAAGTCGTTATCTTTGCTGGAATTCCACAGTAGCAATCTCCATAAGACATTTGCGTTGTTCCCAAACATGTAAGACAAATGGAATAGATTACTTTTTGTGATGCTATGAACACAACACAAAATTAACAACCAACAGAGTAGCCGCTGAGGAAGAGCCGATATGCCAGAGGACAGAAAAGAAGAGAATGAACTGACCTTCACTGTAAAATTTGGGCTGATCTCATATTCTAGGGTTCGATATATGTTGTGAAGGACGATGTTAACTAGGAGGCCACGTTTACCACACAAACGCCTAATTTTGGGCCAAATCACTAATCCGTTCGCCACCTAGGCATTTTAGCAGACCTAATAGCCTGATGGACTAATTGATGGACCGTTGGATCCCAATTTGCACAATGATGTACTCTTTACTCTCCCGCTTACAATTTGATGTACAAAACTAACACTTTTCTCATTATAACTCATCCATAACCTCTATCTTTTCAAAATTGTTACTCCCAAACAAGAAAAACGTTTGCTCCTCTTCCCTTCCAGGCTTCAAATGACCAACCTATGAAACCTTCCTATCATCCTCCGTTCAAACTTTCAAACCAACCTCTTGAGAATCAAGTGAAGCGAATGTAAGTGACAAACATGTGGCTGCAAAATTAGGGCCTCCGCCCATAATTTTGGAATGCCCAAAAAATAAATTTAATACTAACGACCTGTTTGGATTGAGTGTTGTGGAGTGTTAGTAATTGAAGTGTTAGTAAGTGTTGATATTAACACTTGTTTGGGAGAAAATTAAGAAGTGTTAGTAAATGTTAAGAAGTGTTAATAATAACCTTCCCAACACCTCAATTGTCTACTTTTTTTAACACCCCGATTTGGAGTGTTTTGAGGTGTTGGACAATTATTACACTTCTCATTTACCCTAAAAACGTAAAATGCTTCGACATCTCACTTCAAATATCTTTCCCGCATGTCTGGTGGTCTGCCTTTTTCATCTTTTCTCCTTACTCATTTCTTCTGTCTCAAAGTAAAATGATTAACATTTCCATTATTAACACTTCATTCACTTGACTCTCTCAAACAAAGTAAAATTATGTCTAACACTTAAGATGCTCTTACACTTCCTTTCCCTCCAGGACCGTTACTAACACTTCCATTACTAAGTACTAACCTTTCCAAACACTTATCCAAACTCGCCCTAATACTAGTACGACACGGCTGCCAGCCCAACTCCAAAGAAATACTACTAGAACAGAGAAAGAACTGAAGAGAAGCGCTGAAGAGGAACTTCAAGCTAAGCGACAAAGGCGACCGACTGAACCAGGGATTCGACGGACGATCGAGTTGGCTTCGCCTCTTTCACCGCCAACCCGCTACCGCCCCCCACCTCCAAGACCAGGACTCGTGGATCCAAGTGCCTCACGCACACTAAGCAGTGACGGGAGCCACCGGCTGGATTTACTAAAAGAGTCAAAGAGAAGAACTTTCTTTCACTTGTATGGTATGCAATAGCTTTCCCGTTAACCATCAACTTTTATAGCTGGCTTCCTCCACCCGGATATTCGCTTGGTTCTGTGTATGCATATGAAGCTCGAAAGTTCAAATCGTTAGAAACCCACTTGTAACGCTTTAGGGATGAGCAGCTTAGTAACTTTAGCGTCTAACACTTTTCCAGTATTAATGCTTTCTGTTTCTTTTTATATTTGTATTGTTTTCCCTAATTTTTATATACGTAATATATGGTTTTGCTTAACTTTTCTTGTTAATTTATAGAAAAGGCTAATTTCTGTTAGAAGTTATGTATTGTTGTATTTTTTATTGCTACTTTTCTCACACCTAAAGTATTCACTTTCTCCCCTTTGCTTTTTTAATGTAAAAATGCTCCTTTAGTTCCAGGAGTCTTGTAAGCTCATATGTACACAAATACGGTTCACCATTATTTCCATTTCTGTTATTGTATGTCTGTGTATGACTATGGAAAAATAACAAAATATAACAATTTATTCCTCCAATTGCACTTTTATCTGTACCCTCATGGGTTAATCTTACAATATGCGTGTTTGTCTCAATTTTGCTAAATTTGTGGTATGTATGTATTTTGCTGCTTGCCTGCTGCGGTGTCTTTATGCTCGGACGGTTCAGTGATCTAAAGCTTCTTGCTTTGGAGTTGCAGAATAGTGTATATTTTTAGTTATTGAGACTAAGGCTTGGATGTTGTTGTGTTTATTTTTTATGATTTGTTGAAGATGATTCCGTACAGTCCATTTGGTAGACCTCAGACAACTGTAGTGCCTCCTCGAACCATCAATGTTCAAAAATTTGCTGAATCTCGAGGACCTGAACTTGAGACTCTTCACTCTATTATAAAGAACCGCCTACAAAATGACTTCCGTTCTCAAAGAAGCAAGAGGAGAAGGACAACTGGGCATGATAATCGAGCAACCAGAAACAAACACAAAAAGAAGCGGAAGGTAGAAAACAAAGATGTGGACAGGACTCACAGTTTGGGGAATGATAAGGTTGCTCCTCGCCGTGTTCGTAGGAGAATTGAATTTAGTAAGAACCTCAATGGTGGGTTTTTGACTTCAGGAGATGGGACTAAAAGACTTAGAACACATATATGGCATGCAAAGCGTTTCACAATGACCAAACTTTGGGGGTTTTACCTTCCCCTTAGGCTACAAGGCAGGTAAAACATTTCCTTTTCAGTTCTTGTTACTCAGGATATTGCAAACACATTAATAATGAAAATAAAAAAGTAATTCTCTCAACCACTATATATTCAACTGGGGATGCATTGAATAGTCTTGGTTGCATATGCTACCTATGTTAATGTTGGGTATGACTGTATGACATGTACCAAGAATGATAATTGAATACAATTTTCAGTAACTAAGCCTGCAGTATTATATTTGGATGGTGTTTGCATTATCTAATAAATGATTTTTTATTTGATTCCATTTATTTCCAATGTGAATTTTACAGTGGAAGAGGCTCAAGAGCACTTTTGAAGAAACTTAAAGACAGAGCTCTTGTGCATGACACAAGCTATTGTACTGTTATACAGCTGGAGGGCCTGGAGGTTGGTATCTTGTTTCATTTAGATTACTTTTATTCATCTGATTTTCCCCTAGTCTCTTGTATTGTCTTGTGAGTCTTGCAGTACAGGAATAAAAATATTGAAATACTTAATTATAGGAAAATAAATAACAATAGGGGTAACAATATGTTGCTGTAAGGACATTACCTTGTTTATATGAGCTCTGACTATCAACTACTTTATTAACATTTAACAATATTGTATATGTTTTCAGGAAATGGTACAGTCAGTTTTAGATAACACAATGGTGTCCTCATCATCAAATAGTGAATATGCTTCCCAGTACATACTTTCTGGTCTTATTTGTTGTAAAGCCATGGTAAGTGTACTGTGTTCTTTATTTCCTCCTCAGTAATAAGTTATATGTAATAGTACTTGTTACTTAATAATAGTGTGTACTTTTGCAGCTTCATCGTTTTGGGGAGCCCTTCTCTTCTCCCATTGCTCCTATTATGTACATGTGGCAACCTCAGAATTCTTGCAGTATAAATGCTAAGGTTACTGAGAGCACATTCAAGAGTCTGAGTGGAGTTGATGAAATTGCTTCTTCTCGGCGACTATGGATTTTCATACACGCTTCAGCTTTTGGAGAAGGGTTTGAGGCCTTGCAGCATGCCTGCAAACAACATGTAAGCTACCAACTTCTATGTTTTGCAATACAGGCTCGGGGAACTAAATCAGCATTATAGTCCTCATAGTATCAGCATTAGTATAAATTCATATAATAACAGTAATAGCCTGTGTTTTAAAAAGTGCACCAGACCGGGCAGGTCGACCCGGAACCCGGAGCCCAATCCGTTCCGGTAGTCCATCAAACCGCTAATGTGTCCGAACTCGGATTTACCCGCCTGACCCGCCGGACCGGACTGTAACCAGGACGGCTAAACCCCGAAAGTGAGTAAAACACGGAACCAATGGCAAAATATGTAGCCAAAGGGGATTCAGACATTGGTCCTATGTTAAGAGAACCAGACTGGACCCGGCGGATCTGCCTGAAAACCGGTGACCCGGCACTAAACCCGGTCCGTTTACCAAGTAACCTGCTAATCCAGCAATAATCGGAAATAACTGGTAGCCTGCTCGAAACTGAACCGGACTCAGAACGTCCAAGAACCGGAAAACCCAGGGATTGGCGAAAAACCTGATGGAAAACTCAAGCTTTAGTCAAAATCCCAGAGCTGGGAATCGATCCCTGGTCGATAGCTAGTCTAGGGAACGAGCATTGAACCGCAAGCCAACTCAAAAACTTGGCAAGTTGTGCATTTGTGTCTCAATGCTTAACATGGTAGTATGAAACGTAGTCGTTAATGTTTCATTAATATTTAATAAATACACTAATGCATATTATTGCAATTATTATACATTAAGGAGGTGTTTACTTCACTGCTAAAGTCACAGTTAGGTTAGTAAGACAGGTGAAGTAAACACACACGCTGCTTAAAATGCCGCTTACTAACCGAAAGAGGTGCTTAAAGTGCTGCTTATTAAGCATACCACCCCCATGTATTTCCCATGTATTAATTAAGCGGCACTTTAAGCATTTTCAGTTTCCGAATTTACCCCTTGCCCTTACCCTATTGTTACCCCTACCCCACCTTACCACCTACCCTACCTACCCGACCCCTACCCCCTACCCCACCTACCCGACCCAACCTACCCTTACCCCGACCCCACCCTACCACTACCCTACTACCCCACATCTACCCTACCTACCCGATCCCACCCTACCCCTACCCTACCTACCCGACCCCAAACCTACCCCTACCCCACCTACCTGACCCTACCCTACCTGACCCCACCCTCCCCCGACCCTACCCTACCCTACCTACTCGATCCCACCCTACCCCGACCCCCACCCTACCTTACCTACCCGACCCCAAACCTACCCTTACCTTACCTACCCAACCCCACCCCACACACCTACCCGACCCCACCTTACCCCGTACCCGACCCGACCCCACCCCTACCCCTACCCCGACCCAACCTCTACCCTACCTACCCGGCCTACCCCTACCCTACCTACCCAACCCCACCCTACCCTACCTACCGGACCCTACCGGACCCTACCCTTACCCCACCTACCCGACCCCACCCTACCCTACCTAGGGTAGGTAGGGTAGGGGTAGGGGGTCGAGGTGGGGTCGGGGTCGGGGTAAGTCGGGGTAGGGTAGGAGTAGGGTGGGGCTGGGTAGGTGGGGTATGGGTAGGATGGGTTGGGTAGGTAAGGTATGGGTAGGATGGGTTGGGTAGGTAAGGTATGGGTGGGTGGGGTTGGGATAGGGTAGGTAGGGTAGGGGTGGTTGGGTTGGGGGGTTGGGGTATGGTAGGTAGGGTAGTCATAGGGTGGGGTCAGGTAGGTGGGGTATGGGTAGGATGGGTTGGGTAGGTAAGGTATGGGTAGGATGGGTTGGGTAGGTAAGGTATGGGTGGGTGGGGTTGGGATAGGGTAGGTAGGGTAGGGGTGGTTGGGTTGGGGGGTTGGGGTATGGTAGGTAGGGTAGTCATAGGGTGGGGTCAGGTAGGTAGGGTAGGGGTGGGTAAGGGGTAGGGTGGGTGGGGTCGGGGTAAGGTAGGGCGGGGTAAGGGGTATGGGTACACATATTATATTATATACTCGTGTTTATGAATGTTTGTGTGTATATATATGTGTGGGGTTATTTTGGACATTTTAATGTTAAGCGGTGTTTTAAACCGTTTGAAGTAAACACGGTCTTACAACATTGTTTATTTTATGCGCCGCTTATTAACACGGGTCTTAATAAGCACGGTTTAATAACCTGTGAAGTAAACATGTCCTAAGATTATATATACAGTATTTAAATTATAAGTCAAAATATTTATACAATTTTAAGATTCATCAATGTGGGTTGTTATGTTCATATTTATTTTTGTAAAAATGTATGTTATATATTTTAATATTTATTTTAGAAAAAAAATTGTGACTTACTCGTATTTATTTTGTAGATTCAAAAACTAGATATCAAATAACACTATTGATTCAAAGATGATTAAAATTATATATTAGAATAATATGTTAATGTTCTCAATGTTTACCAAGTATTAGAAGTACTTCATATTTGATTATTGTGAAAAATAAAACCCGGCGGGTCTGGTTCTGATAGCATAGCCTTGGTCTACAACTAGACAATGCAACCTCCAAACCAGCGAACTACGTTTGGAAGTTGTTACATTGTGATCTTTAACTGTATTTATTATATACGTAGTATTTTATTTCAATTAATACATTGCAATCTAACTAATACTTTGTAATTAATGATCATAATAAAAATATAAGATCATTAATAAACGCTACATATTATTTTTTATCATAATAAGAGAAAGCATTTATATAATATTTAATTTTTTTTAGTAAGCATCGTATTCATATTTATTGTCCATTTAATCTAAAAGACATTTCATATTTTATTATAACTTGTATATTTTAGAATAATACTTTAATTTCTATGTTGACTGGGTTGACCAGCCGGGTCAAACTCTGAAGTTCCGAACTTCCCATTCCCGAGTTGCTTTAATTAACCACCGGAGAAGTATGCTGGTAGTTAGGTTGTCTGTTGATATCCTTGTGAATTTATAGTGTTTGTGCAGTATAGATCACTACTTCTGTTGTTCTTAATCATCAGATGAGTGCCAACAACTTGACTGTTAGTTGTATCTCTCTTGAGGACCGGCTTACAAAATTAGAAGTTATTGGATCGATGGCACTTCAAGTCCTTAAAAAGACATTACATCCTGCTAACCAGTGAGATAATTAGTTATTCGACCTTTTACATAATTTAGCTGAATGTCTAGCCTCAACATGTCTAATTGGTATCCTTACTTTTGCAGTGAAAGTGAATTTGCCAAAACACTTGAGGAAGATCAAATTCCTTATTATGGGATTTCTTCCCTCACTGTTGTGGATCCTCGCTATTTTACTGAGGGAGGTGTTTCTAATTCTTCAGATATAAATGTTCTAGAAGAACTAACTTATAAGGAGCAAGCGATGAAACAAAATGCTGCATTGGTTGAACATTCTGAAATGGAATGTAATTCACCTTCACGTCAATGCTCTGAATTTGAAGAAAGCTGTGATTTATCTGTGTGTATGGATTTGTGGCATTTGTACAAAGATGTAAGCCCTCCTATAGAAGAAAGAGTTCTTTGCGCAGAGAGACACAACCAGCGTATGAAATTGTTTGGGCTTGGTGATAGGATTTCTGGGGCATTAGATGCTCCAAACATTATACAGCGTCCGAGATCATGTCCTATTTTGCTCATTAAGAATTACAGCCAGATATCTTCTTCTAAAAGGTGAATTTCCTCTATTGGCCATTTTGTACGGAGTATGTTTTATTTAACTGAAATTACTGAACCTGATGAATTTTCTGAAAAGATGTGTTCGGTAAATTGAATTTTAGCCAAATAAGCAAGTCAAAAGCTACTTTTTCTATAAGAACCAATTATTTTGCAGATACGCAAAATAAGAAAATAAGCTCATAATGGTTGTCAAACAGACCCAAAATGATGGTTGAGCATAAATACAAAAAGATAGTTAGTATGCACTGTGCAGTTTAATAGAAGCACTTGACTTCTACTATGCATGAGAGTGTTCACATTGATATTGCACAGCTTTATTTCTTTTAAGCCTATGCTAGGATTTGATTACTCTAGATGTTTGCCATAGAACTTTTGTTGTTGAAACTTTTTTTTGGAGGAAATAATTCTTAAATACTTCCCCCGTTCTTTAATTCTTGCAACATTGTGATTTTTGCACTATTCACAAACCTTACTTTGATCACGATTTTCTACTAATATACATAATCAAATTATTATGTATAAAATTTTATTGAATTCCTATCAATGTGAATTTCCAAAATATCAACTTTTTATAATGTTTACTAATACATAATTAAATATAATAGCATTGAAGAATTAAAGAACGGAGGATAGTATTTGTTATTGTAATGTGATCTAGCGATCCTTTTATGCATTCTTAGCTGATGTATCAACTTTATGACTTAAAATGATAATTTACCAAAGAACCTGATCGGGTGTGGTCTAATACTCTAATACTTTAATCTCTTCGCGTTCAGAATTTTAAATCATATGAACGGTTCCGCTGCCTAACGGCCAACATATCTTTTAGATGGTCTATTATTCTTCCGCTAAGTTGGGTTAAGGTCATATGGATTAGTCTCATCTCCAATGGTGCTCATGCAATGGGTCTCGCAGAGAAGCATTGGGTTGCTTGTGAAGTAAGTAGACGTTTTATTTTGACTTCACCTTTCCTTCACCATCTTTTAAAATTCTTATTGTTTCTTCTTTAATTTTTTTCTCTTTGCAGTCTGGCTTGCCATGCTTCCCTTATGATTTTCCTGATTGCAAGTCATATTCATGGTTTATGGAAATGGAAGAAATTGCTGCTAATGAAAAGGCAGAGAGAATTCCTCCTCCCTTGAGGCCTTTCAGAGTTCCAATTCAGCCCCCTTGGAATAGTGTCCACCTTTCTATTGAAAAAAGATCATCCTCCATGGAAAGAAATTTTGAACTACAACGTCAAGACCTATGCACGGAAGACTTTGAACAAAAGTGCTTAATTGATTTCACTGGCTATAGAGGAGATCGTTTCACTGCTATTCCATTTATGGGATTTATAGCAAGGACATCCCGCATTTTTAGCCAGTTTTTGAATCAAATCAACGGAAGCCATTTGCTTTTGTTTCCAAAATTCATCAATACAGAGAAGTGCATATCTAAAGTTATTAAAGAAAATAGAGAGAACCGCAATGGGGTTATCTTCCGTGTAAATTATGGACCAAAGTTGTGTTTCGTAAGGGTGTTGTTGCATGCCTACAACAAAGGTGTTTTTGAAGGAGGAGCAGTGGTTTGTGCCCCTCAAGTTGATGAATTGTTGTTGTTGACTCAGAGGTAAATCTTTTATTGTAGTCTTCCTTTTTACATTCTACTTTTGTATTATCTGATAATTTAACCTTTATTATTATTTTCCCCTAGCTGACCGGACACCAGAAAGTGGACAATTCATCTCATTATGAAATAATATGTAGGACAGTAGGGTTGAAAAGATAATGAAATAACGTGAATGTGCATGCTGCTTTCACTAAATAAACAGTTGTTGGTACAACTTTTTGATGTGAACCTTGCTTTGATAGCACCTAGCGTGATATGTACATACACACACATATATGTACACACATAATAAATACATACACACATGATACATTCATAATTTCATATATATAGAGAGAATTTTCTTCCGGTCAGGTATACCTGACTAGAGTGCCGCCCGGCCACCTCAATTGGAGGTGGTGCCGGGTGGAATTTTTGATGAAATTTTGTAAGCATGTTCTCCATAAAGTGTAAATTATGTCCACAAAATTTCAGCTTAGATTCAATCGGAAAGTCGGTTAAATAAATCATTGAAAACAACTGCGCCAATATATATATATATATATATATATATATATATATATATATATATATATATATATATATATATATATATATATATATATATATATATATAAACGCAGATGTTTCAAAAAATTAATTTAACTGACTTCTCGATTGAATTCTTAGCTGAAATTTGGTGGACACAATATACACTCCATTGAAAACATGTTCACAAAATTTCATCCAAAAAATTTCACCTAGAACCACCTCAAAATGAGGTGGCCAGACGGCAGTCCTGTCAAGTAATACGTGATAGGAATATTTGCGCACGTGTGTGTATATATACATATATATATATATATATATATATATATATATATATATATATGCTTCCTCCGTTTTTTAGTTCTAACACTCCCATTTTTACATTTGGTAACGCACAACTTTGTTTGTAAATATACTTATATACTTAAATCTCTATTAGTAAAAAGATCTAAAAAATTTGATTTTGAAAGTTTGTAATGAGACAAATTCAACAATTTTTTTTTAAAAAAAATTCTTATACATTAATAAATAAAAGTAGTCAAAGTGGAGCCTGTGTAAAGTTTAACCTGTTACAACTAAAAAGGAAAGGAGGTAGTATGTATAAATGAATCAGCTGAGAATTTCTTAGGCTTAAAAGTCAGAAGTTATCTCAGCTGTTTGTCTGAGAAGTAATATTTGCGGAAAAAAAAACTTACTTTGTTACAAAAGGACCTTACTTGTAAGACCCAATATGTAATTTCTAATAAGCTGAAAAACTTTTAGTAATCTCAGCAAAATAAAAACTTAGAGTACAAAAAACTTAACTTTTAAGACAGTAAATTCTAATATGCTTTGCCTTGAAAGTTGAGATCTTTTAAGGTAATGCACTTTTTTGTTGTGGTAGATCATATTGGTTCATTTCACAAAAAGTGACCCCATATTTGATCAAAGTTGATGCATTGGCATATTCTGAGCCTGTAGATCCCAAATTTGATGCTCCATATTTAGTTTTTTTTTTTTTTTGCGGGATTATAATTTTGTTTGAACCAACATATAGTTTTGGCGTAATACACAAACCTATGCATATTTGAGTATTTGAAGGACTCTTAGCTTGCTGGACCTTTTGTGATATGCAGACCAGAAAATTCTGAAGGACAACTTCAAATAACCGAGTCGTCAGTTCGGTCATACTTTGTGCAGCGAGCAGATGGGAAATGGGAATGTCAGCTACCCACTGATCCTGAATCCATAGCGTCTCATAGGCTGCCGATTGGTTTTGTTACAACAGGATTCATACCAGGAAGGTCAGTCAGTAAAGCATTCTTTTTAATAAATAAAAAAAAACTCCGTAGTTCTTTTCCCACTGCTGAATTTTTTATGTTTTCTTTTTAATAATCTGGAAATCATAATGCAGCAAGAAGCCTGTCGCAGTGGCTCTTTGTGAGGCAATCAATCTTGCATGTCTCAGAGAGGATCAGTGGAGGATCACGTCTCTTAAGCGGAGAAAGGAAATCTATGTGTTGGTTAGGAATTTGAGGTCAACTACATATAGACTTGCATTGGCTAATATAATCCTGGAGCAAAGGGAAGATGATGATCTCGATTACATGTAATTGTGTTTCATGGGGCTAGAAATTTTGGCTGCTATCTTTTCTATCTTATCTATTTGTTGCGATGGAATCTGATCCCCCCCATGTGAATCCATCTTCCAAAAGAAAAAAGAGTTCCTTTCTATTGCTTGCTTTCCTTGGTCAAATACTGAAATGAGGTACTCCCTCCGTCCCATTGGATTTTGTCAACTTTCCTTTTTTGTTTGTCCCAAAAACTCTCGTTTGCCCAAACCTCAACCACAGTTTTTACTATTCTAATTTCCGATCCAACATCAACTTGGCAAAATTGAGTGAGACGGAGGTAATACTAAACAATAGAATCATGCCCCTCTTTGTTACTTTCCATCATACCAAATGGGTAATGTTTTCTGAGATCCTGGTGATTAGGAGGATGTAATGATAATACGAGATTCAGGCTTATAGAAGCAACTCCAATGTGTTTAGGGGTGGCAATCTACCCCGGCCCCCTGCTGGCGTGTTTAGGTTGTAGTTAACCACCTGTTTTATTATGTTTGGTTTTGATGTATATGGTTTTATCTAATTTTATTACTCAGTATATGTTATATTTTTTAAGGAATTTTTACATACTCTGTATGTTATAGAACATCCAGTTTGATACAGAATCATCTTGATTGAATGTTACTACTAGGGAGCAGTGTTCTCAAAAGCGCCGAAAGGCGCCGCCTAAGCGGGCGTAGGCTCAAGGCGAGACCTAAACGCCTCGCATGGCTCTGATGCGCGAAAAAAGGCGGGCAAACTAGCCCAACCCACTAAAAAAATATTTTGACTTGCATATGGGCTGGAGCAATGGAAGCCCATGCGCAGCTGATTAAGCAAGGGCTGTGCCCGACTGTAATTATCAATGCAATGACCCGTTTATATAGAAACTTGAAGAGAAGAGTTATCCGTGGTCTTCCGGTGTGGGATAATTCTGTGAAGCAAATTTCCAACCCAAGATAACGGCTTGAGCAATTAGGGAGATTTGGAAAACAACAGCTATGCTAACGTTGACAATAATAACTATAACTTAAACATCATTAGTATTGTTATTTTTGGTGTAATTACACCATTATTATCATTAAAATAATTTCAAATGTATAAATACAACAAAAATATTATTATACATAGTAATACCATATCTATACAACGATTTTCGAATTAGTCATATTTTAGGAAAAACTTCTTCTTATTGTTGTTGTTACTGTTACTACTACTACTACTATTACTATTATTATTATTATTATTATTATTATTATTATTATTATTATTATTATTATTATTATTATTATTATTATTATTATTATTATTATTATTATTATTATTATTATTATTATTATTATTATTATTATTATTATTATTATTATTATTATTATTATTATTATTATTATTATTATTATTATTATTATTATTATTATTATTATTATTATTATTATTATTATTATTATTATTATTATTATTATTATTATTATTATTATTATTATTATTATTATTATTATTATTATTATTATTATTATTATTATTATTATTATTATTATTATTATTATTATTATTATTATTATTATTATTATTATTATTATTATTATTATTATTATTATTATTATTATTATTATTATTATTATTATTATTATTATTATTATTATTATTATTATTATTATTATTATTATTATTATTATTATTATTATTATTATTATTATTATTATTATTATTATTATTATTATTATTATTATACTTATTGTTTGTAACTATCCTACCAATTATTGCTTTTGTATAATAGATTATGTATGATTTTTAGAACTAATAAGAAGCTTAATTGTTTGTATATGTGCGTAAAAGTGTGTATCACATTTTCTCAACATTACATTACATATATATTTACTAACTACTCTATGAAAATTAAAATATTTAGTAAAAAACCGAAACGCCTTTTCACGCCTTTACCACGCCTAAACTCGCATAGGCTTCAAAGGCTTTAGGCTTGGTCTTCCCGCTTCGTCACGCCTTGCGCCTTTTAGAACACTGCTAGGGAGTGATATCCATTGCTTTTGAAAAGCATTTTTTCCTAGTGTCGATGTTGATGTTTTTAAGTTGGTGCTTTTGTCGTATTTAAACACTTTGAAGCTTAAAAGAGAAAAGCAGGTAGAATAAATTGAGAGCTGCTTTTCAATTTATTCATTAATTACTATTTCATTCAGATAATGCACTTCAATTTACTGAAAAACACTATGTACTATCATAGGCTATTCTACTCTAATATCCAAACCTTATTCCTAAGAGTATGGCCGTATGGGTACGTTTGCAAAAAATTGAACGCTAGAATGTGTTTTTTACGTTTTATGTTACACAAAAAAATACTTATTTTGTCGAAAACTATCGACTTTTGTTTTCCAAAATTAATTTTTTTTCAAACATTATTAGAGAAATGTTTGCTAGCTCTAAACAAGCTGAAAATGATCTTTGCAATTACATGCTTTTACTTAAAAAAGTATTTAAGGGCTAAAAGCTAAAAGCATATATTCTCTCCCTCTCATTTATATTGTCCCGTTTTACCTTTTCGGAAAATCTCACTTAAATTGTCTCATACTCCCTCCGGTTTTTAATAAACTTCACACTTTCCTTTTTGGGACGGTCTAAAATAAACTTCACACTTCCTTATTTCCTTTTTTGGCAAAGAAATCTACATCAAAACAGTGCCAAACAGTGTCTCAACAGTGCCAAACAATGTCTCTACAGTGCCAAACAGTGTCAAACAGTGTCTCAACAGTGTACTCTACAGTAAAGTCAAATTTCTTTCCTTATTTTGTGTGAAGTCAAACTCTGAAGATTAAAAAAACCGGAGGTAGTACCATATTTGGCAAAGTTTGTGTGGCTCTAAATTATTCTTATTTTATTCTTACTTTATCAATTAATATCAACCACACAAACTCACTTTTCTTAATAATCGTACCACCCTCTTCCGGGATAATATAAATGGGACGGAGGTAGTATATAATAACTTCTAACTGATTTTAGATTTTTTTTTTTTTGTAAATAACTCAAACTTTTGAATAATTATAATGCCAACAGAAATAATCTAACCCCCATAATAGTATAATACCCTTCAATAATTATGATGTACTATGCGTCCATATCCGTATAACAAATCTGCCTGGTCTCCATATCTGTTCGTCGTCCAGCCTCGCCTCCCAAACTCTGAGTTGTCTCCCATAATGTCTGAATCACATCTCTTTAGTGAATTGTAGCAATGTTCATGGCCTAAAGATGCCAAGAAATACTCCCGTTTTTAAAGAAGGTGTGGAACAAATAATGTTGATTACTGAAATTGAAATGTAAGAAATTCTGACCCATATTCCATTTTAAAACAAACTGAAATGATGAAACGTCTGAATGAGTGGAAGCTAAAACCCATGTCCCGTTTAAAACCTGAAATTGAAGTTCCGATTCTGATTGCATAGTGCAATGAAGAAGCTGAGAGTGATGATAAACAGTAGGAACAAGCAAATGATCGAGCTCAGATAGAGATGATGAAACGTAAAGAAAGAGGCGCAAATGCAATACACTTTACGGATTGATTTACTAGAAGCCCTTACTTCTACCATTAAGCATTTTTTTCAAAATCACTTTAAAAATGATATTTTAAAGCAAAAGGAGAAGTAGGGGTAGGTGGTCTTTCTTTTTTTAATACTTTATTGACGGGTGAAAGCGATAAGGCTAGTGTGGCTGGCAAAAGCTCCAAAGCTCTCACATGGTTAGCGATTAGTCTCGTTCATAATTGGGTGAGCTATTCTGTTCTAATCATAGAGTGGGAGGGCCGTTTGACTACGCGAAGTCATAGTGGGAGGCTTGGTTATTTATGGGTGTTGAGATGTTGATTACTACGATTTTAATAATATAAGTTGTTTCCTTTCAAAAAAAAAAAGGAGCAAAAGCAGCAATGACTCCCTGCTATTTTCATTAAATACTTTTGAAAGGCAAAGGAGACAAACATGGTCGGTTAAAATAAGAATTAAAATTATAAAAAAGAAAAGAGATATTATCCGAAATAGGACTAAAAGAGTTTGAAAATTCCAAAATAGGACTGCCATGTTTTTATTCCCAAAATAGGACTAATTACTGCCATGTTTTGGCAATATCAGAACCTTAAATATGACAGTATTTTCCAAACTTGACAGTAATTACTCCTATTTTGGGAATAAAAACATGATAGTCCTATTTTGGAATTTTCAAACTTTTTTAGTCCTATTTTGGGAACTTTCCCAAAAGAAAAGCAAACGTGAAAACAGGTCAACACCTAACTCAAGTTGAATTAGTCTATCTTATTACTCCATCGTTTATCTGTTGCCGGATCAGAAACATTCCCATTGGTTGGTTTCAATTATTAACAGGATAAAGTGATTAAAAATTGAATATGATGGTGTAACTGTGTAAGCGAATTAGGAAGAAAAGTGAAGCCAATGATGCCCGCTGCATTATTGTAGACTTTTGTTGGTATTATATTATTGCCTGTCCCACAGAATATTATTCAAATTTCTATATAAAATTTACAGTATATGTCAAGAAGTTAAACTAGAACTATGTGCGCACAAGATCTATTGGAGATTTGGAGACTTGGAGTGTAATAAAAATTGATAATAAAATTTAAAAAGGAAAAGTGCATGAGTAAATAAACAAATACACAGTGAAAAATACAAATTCGTCAAATCATTAGGATATAGATCATACTCCTTTATTGTATATAGATCATTAGTGTATTGTATTTGGAAAATACAAATTCATCAAATCATTAGGAAAAATACAAATACAAATGCATGAGTATATAGATCAATAGCATATTGTATTTTTTTATATGATATAACTGGCAACAAGCCAACAACCAGGCCACTGACCTTATTCTTATGAATAAAAAACAACAGTATAAATACATACATCAGAAAGGAACAACACGTATGATGCTGTCACGCAACCGATGAACTGTGTATTGACAAAATGTCCACTAAGCATTAGTATTATTATAATTCTAATTATTGTTATTATACTTGTAATTATTGTTACATGATAGTGCACCCATTTGTGTTTTCTTCACTGAAGTAGGTGTGATCACACCTGCACCCATAGTAACCCTTAGCCTGTCCACAACGACACCAATTGGTGGCATAATTGTCATAGCACGGCTGCGGGGGCGGTGGTAGCATTGGTGGTGGGGCCATCTGTGCTCCGTACCATTCGTAGCACGGCTCATAACAGTACATCGCAGGCGGATACCCGTGAGAAACCGGCATCACTGACACCTGCCCCGGTCCGGGCACGTTTGACATTGGCTCCGGTTGCTTCATCGGTATAAACATCGGCTCTGGCATTGGAGGACCATGTTTGGGCTTCTCCGGGCCTCTCGGCATATCTCTGGGCTTGTCCAGGCCTTTCGGCATATCTTTGGGCTTCTCTTGCTCTTTCGGTTTCTCTTTGGGCTTCTCTTGGTCTTTGGGTTTCTCTTTGGGCTTCTCAGCCTCCTTCGGCTTCTCGGCGGTTTTGGGAGCGTCTTTTGGCTTCTCGGCAGTTTTGGGAGCATCTTTCGGCTTCTCGGCGGGTTTGGGAGCGTCCTTGGGCTTCTCGGCAGGTTTGGGAGCATCCTTGGGCTTCTCAGCAGGTTT